TTGGTCAGGTAGATAGCAGGATGTACCTCAGTGTTTGAAAGATGATACTATGGCTATGTCTAAACTCCTGTTGTCATTGTCTCTGTTGATTATTTTGGTGCTATTGGTCAGACTATCTCTGGTGATGGTCTAGTTGTCTGCAGAAATTATATGATCTTTGATGGATACTTGTCTTTGTGCACTTTCAAGTGCCTTTGGAGAGATGTTGTCTTGTCTGTTTACGGGTATTGAGATCTTTGAGATTGATAGTTTACAAGTAGGCTTGTGAAGGCAAGGTGACTTTTGTCTCTTACAGTACATTGCATTGGTGTCAAGTGAGCTCCTCAGTCTTCTTACTTTTGTAATATATTGTGAGCTGTATCTTCTGTTCAGTGTTGGTAAGGGTCACATTTTTGTTTATATCTTACAGGACATTTTTTTTATGTCTTGTGGGGAGTTGAAAGAAGTTCCTGTAGAAGAGGTTATGCAGATTCTGAAGTGTTGACCTCATTATCAGAGATAACATGATAGTTCACCCTCCTTTTAATGACCTCTTCATCATAACCATTAGAATATCCATTGTTGACAAGGATCTGCCTTATTGTACTGACTTCCTTGTCAACCTGCTTTCAATCGGAGCTGTGTGTAAGAGCATGGCTGACACGGGTTGACATTACTTCACATATACTGTACCATTTAGGGCACTCATTACTGGCATTAAGGCATATTCATATGTTGGAGCCACAACCCAGCCCCTTCACAGATGCACAGGAAGCGATGGCATTTATTTTCACCACCTCGCCGTGAAAAGCAACCACCGTCTCAGCATATACCTTCAGAGTATATCACCTAGGCTCACCTAGAAATTTGTTTTATTTCATTCAACTCTGGTTTTTCTCAACAGTATCCATGTAAAAATTTAGAAATAGAGCACTGAGAGGAGAAGCCATGGTGACACCATCTGCTGTACTTGTTTATATACAGTACTGAGACTCTCAGGTCTCAGGAAAGGTGCTTCTCTAGTACATGCTTCAAATAATTGCTTAAGTATGCATTCTAGCCTTTCTGGGATGTCAAGAATCATTGATCTAACCTTCTCGGTCATATTCAATATAACATACATTATATATATATATATATATATATATATATATATATATATATATATATATATATATATATATATATATATATATATATATATATATATATATATATATATATATATATGTCGTACCTAGTAGCCAGAACTCACTTTTTGGCCTACTATTCAAGGCCCGATTTGCCTAATAAGCCAAGTTTTCCTGAATTAATATATTTTTTCTAATTTTTTTCTTATGAAATGATAAAGCTACCCATTTCATTATGTATGAGGTCAATTTTTTTATTGGAGTTAAAATTAACGTAGATATATGACCGAACCTAACCAACCCTACCTAACCTAACCTAACCTATCTTTGTAGGTTAGGTTTGGTTAGGTAGCCGAAAAAGTTAGGTTAGGTTAGGTTAGGTAGGTTAGGTAGTCGAAAAACAATTAATTCATGAAAACTTGGCTTATTAGGCAAATCGGGCCTTGAATAGTTGGCCAAAAAGTGAGTTCTGGCTACTAGGTACGACATATATATATATATATATATATATATATATATATATATATATATATATATATATATATATATATATATATATATATATATATATATATATATATATATATATATATATATATATATATATATTATAATAATAATAGTAATAATAATAATATACTGGTATTAGACTATCATTGGTGAGGTGGTCAGAGTACTGTGTACATTCAGGGGTGATCCAGAGTAGCAAGGGGGGTTGAATCCTGGTTGGGTCATATTGAGTAGATTTGTCTTGTATTTCACGAAAGTGGAAAGGTTCTGAGGTATATAGGTCCTTGGAACATATTTGAAATTGTTTTAGAGATTTTAAAAATGAAAATAGTTAATGACTGTTTTTTATTTTGCCAGTTTCTATAATAATTGTGACAAGAGATTACCAAACATAATTAGCCTATTCTCTTTATAAAAAATGTATGTGTTTCATTTCATTCTTGAGTTGGGCACAATATCATTCCATTCTTGAGTTGAGTACAATATCATATCATTCTTGAGTTGGGTACAATATCATACCATTCTTGAGTCTGGCACAATATCATACCATTCTTGGTACAATATCATAGTATTTGTGAGTCTTGTACAATATCATAGTATTTGTGAGTCTTGTACAATATCATAGCATTCTTGGTACAATATCATAGCATTCTTGGTACAATATCATAGCATTCTTGAGTCTGGTATAATGTCATAGCATTTTTGAGTTCTTGAGTCTGGTACAATATCATAGCATTTTTTAATCTGATACAATATAATACCATTCTTGAGTCTGATATTATGTCTTGCCATTCTTGAATTTGATACAATATGATACCATTCTTGAGTCTGGTATAATATCATGCTATTTTTGAGTCTGGTGCAATATCATACTATTTTTGAGTCTGGTACAATATTATACCATTCTTGAATCTGGTACAATATTATGTCATTTTATAGTCTGGTACAATATCATACCATTCTTGAGTTAGGTATAATATACTAATCTGAAATGGGTTATAGTTGGTTTTGTCTCAAATTTATATCCTTTAAAATTCTATATACCTTAACCTATAAATTTCATGCAGCATAATGATGATAATGCACTTAATTGAATGTGGAATTAACTAAGAGAATGTAAGTAGATATCATGCGCATGTTTTCTAGGATTACAGTCTGGTAATTCTAGAGGCATTTTGTGCTATTATTATTATATATTATAGGTTAACTGCCCACTTCTAACTTTCCACACACTAGAAAGTTTATATAGTACTTAGGATTAACTATTATTAATGGAAATTTATGAGAGGTCGCAAGGTTCGGCGGTGTGCGTCCTCGACTTACAATCAGGAAACCCCAGGATTAATCGTCGGGCAGAACAGAAATGGTTGGGCATGTTTCCTTTCACATGATACCTCTGTTCACCTAGCATTTAATAAGGTTCCTGGGAGTTGGTAGTTGGCTTAGCTAGGGGGACTTCGATAAGCCTAAGTACAGACTTTCTGTCCCCGATAACAGGACTTATTACTTTGTTTACAAATGTCAAGATTAAACGAGTACGCCCTTACCGATGCTTTTTAGTGCGGGAAAGTCATTAGTTAGCATGAACCAATAAATTTTAAATGTTAATACTGTAATAGTCATTAAATTAAATTTTTACTTTATTTACAATACATACTTTTAAGTACAGTATTTACAAAATATAAAAATAAACTTAGTGCAATTCATCATTAAGTTGGTACAGGTATTGTCAAGCACTTTTATGTGGTAGAATAAGCTTGGAACTTGTTTAACATTCAGTAGGTGTAGTATGTTTAGTAAAGCAAGCACTCACAAGCTCATATCCTCACATACCCCAAAAGCTCACAATCACACGCACTCAGAAACTCCGACACGCTCAAAGAAGCTAACACTCACAAACACTAACAAGCTCAGCCACACACACTCATGAGCTCACAGCCACACACACACATAAGCTCACAGCCACACACACACATAAGCTCACAGCCACACACACACACACAAAAAAGCTTACATCTATATTATATATTAATTATATCTACACACACTCACATGACCTTGCACTATGCTCACTTTTTCTCTCACCACTCAGATTGAATAATCCACTGTTTCCAGTGCCTGGTTGTGAATGGAAGTCTTATCAGTCAATCTCACCGATCATAAACTTTAACAGCATCAATTTTGCATTCTCACACATGTACAAACACACACACACACACACACACACACACATACACACACACACACATACACACACACACACACACACACACACACACACACACACACACACACACACTTAGGTAATTACACACTTCAAACATGGAACCTAGCTGATATGCAGAAAAGATAAAAATACTGTAGTTCCAATCTTCAAAAACTGGTAACAAACAAAACCCCTCTAAGTTGTAGGTCCCGTATCATTAACAAGTGTGGTAGTCAAATCACTTGAGAAATAATGAAAGCTAAATTGATAGAATACCCAGAGATAAATGACATTATAAATGACAGTTCGACTTTCAAATTGAAAACTCCTGTGTAACAAATCTACTTGCGCCATAGAGATCCTACAGAAAAGAGATAGTTGCGTTGACTGTATCTGTCTGGACTTAAAAAAAAAAAACTTTTGACAGAATCCCACACAAGAAGCTGTTATGGAATCTAGAGCATACATACACGTACAGTACTGACATGTATGAAAATGCATAAGAAATTATTAATTACATTTCTAAGACCAAAATTAAAATACTACGCTGTAGTTATGCTATGTCCATGTCTCAAGAAGCACATTAACAAACTGAAAAGGTGCAAAGACATGTTACTAAATAGTTTCTGAACCTAAAAGAAGAATTATGAGGAGAGGCTGGAGGCATTAAACATGACAAAGCTAGTACACTGTAGATAAAAGGAAAAGAGGTGATATGATTGCTACATTCAACATCGTGACATTAATAAAGAAGTTGACAAGGAAGAATTTTTTAAATATGCAACTTCAAGAACAAGAGACCATAGATTTAATCTAAGAAAGCAAAGATATAATTTTTTTTGCAAAAGTTCTCTTTTGTGAACAAAGATGTGGACTGTTGGAATAATTTAAATAAGAGGGTGTTGATGCCAAAATAATTTGAAGCATCAAAATAACATATGACACATTATAAGAAAGACAGAACTCATCCTGTAATTACAGTTAGGTAATTAAATGCACAAAATACACACACACACACACATGCACACAGCATACACTAATAAAGATTTTCATGAACTGTTTACAAATTATAATACTGTCTATACATTAATATTTTTCATTACTGTATTTTCAGTTTGTAATTTATGGAAATTTATATTTTTTGAAAAGAAAAATTAGAATTTTCTCAATTACAGAATGATGAACTGGAACTTGTTAGAACATGTTACACAGCTATAAGCCACAGTAAAGGTGGTGAGGTGGTGCGTGTCCGTGACTGTGTTCTTTTACGGTCTGGTCCACGGAAAACAGATCTTCCTTTTGTTGCCAAGGTTGCTGCGTTGTGGGAGGACCCAGAAACCTGTAAGTTTGCTGCAGTACTTTTACATTTTGTTATCCATATTTTTCAGGATTTATGGCCAAAATACTTTGCATATTGAGAAAATCAGTAGGAGCCATGAGGAGGATTCAAGCCCTCGCACTTGGTACTCCCATGCACACACCCTAGACAGTTACACCACGACATGGTCAAAAGCAATGCAACCAGTAATTCAGCTAAATCCTCTAGGGGTCCTGAGGCTGCTACTGAAGCCCAATCAGGGTTTCACCCATCATGCTCATGCACTCTGGGTGTGGTCCAGGAGTTCTACATCTAATGCTCCTTTCAAATGCACAAAGGAATCACATTAACATGATATGTCAATTAAAAAATCAGTAGGAGCCATGAGAAGGATTCGAACCTGTACTTTGGACCCAAAGCACATGCCCTAAACCACTAAGTCATGATATGCTACAAGAGTAATGCAACCTGAGATTCAACTGAACCCTCTAATGTACTGTACTGTAGTTGGATTGTTCCTTTACACCTTTTCTTATTTATATATCCATAGTTCATGAACAATTATATTCATGGTAAATTTGTACTATACCATAATACAGTATTTTGAATTCTTGACTCACCTTGAGTTTTATACATTATACGGTTGTTTACATTGTATAACATACAAATGGAGTTCCCTTAGTGGCACTGGTTGGTACCAGAGCCATTTTGGACCATAGCTATTTTGCAAGTATGGGATAATGCACTCCAGAATTTAGAGTACAGTACAATGTGATGCATCTGAAAAATTTATATTACAGTACATTGTGTGCCTATATTACATTGCTATAAAGTGTATAGTAATGTACTACAGCTTTAAATATAGTAGAACTGTGATAGAATTGAGTTACTGCAATCTGACCTGTAATAAACTTGGTGGGCTATTGTTTTATAAAACAGTTCCTTCTTGTTGTAAATGATAAATGATGCAAAAATAGTTTATAAACAATTAATTTTGAATAGGTATATATGACATGATTAGTGTGTTGCCTAGGCTACTGCACAGTACAGTACATCATTTTGCCAAAGTTTCTCCTGGTATACTGATTGCTTAATGAAGCTAGGTCAGTAGTCAACACCGACACAGCACGAATCTTTTCAAACTGTACATTTTGAGTTGTACTAATGCTAGGAAGACTGAAGTGCACACACATTGTTATTTCTATTTCAGCACAGCCTATGGGGGTGTGCAAAAATGTTTTATTAACCCTTTCATGGCTTCAACCACTATCTGTGACTACGTCTTTTGCTCCAACCACTATCTGCGACTATCTCTTGTGCTCCAATCACTATTTGCGATAACCTCCTGGCCTGACGGCTGAGTGGACAGTGCTCGGGATTCGATGTCTTAAGGTTCTGGGTTCGATCCACGGTGGAGGCAGAAACAGATGGGCAGAGTTTCTGTTACTCTGATGCCCATGTTCACCTAGCAGTAAATAGGTACCTGGGAGTTAGACAGCTACTACAGGCTCCTTCCAGGCGATATGTAATAAAAAGGAGGCCTGGTCGAGGACCGGGCCGCGGGGATGCTAAGCCCCGAAATCATCTCGAGATAACCTCTTGTGCTTCAATTACTACCTGCATTTGCCTCCTAAGTGCAAATTGCTATGCATATGTGATTTTTACCCATTTGGTTTGTTAGCTATTTTTGTCAGGCATACCCTAATGTAGTACTTTTAATTTAAATAGCTGAGTAGTCCAAGAGTTAAGCTGTACTTTTTGTTTCTTTTTACAGCTGACATGATGATGTCAATTTTATGGTACTATCGTCCGGAACATACAGACTCAGGGAGACGCCCAGATGACCTTCCTGATGAGATCTTTGCCTCTAAGCATCGGGATCATCTTAGTGTCGCTTGTATTGAGGATCGTTGCTATGTCCTCACCTTTAATGAATACTGCCGGTTAGTGAGTGGGTTTTGTTTTGTATTTGGAGTGTGGAAAGAGTGCAATTATTCTATTGGGGAACATTTGGGTGTTTGATTTCAGATGAATTTTTTATGCCCATATTGTTTAATATTAATCATATTTTTGTTATAATGTTACAGTACTAGAATTTTGTTTAAGTAAATTGCAAGTTATCACAAATATAGTGATAAGATTATGATATATAGTGCATGTGCTTCAGGAGTTCAGGGACCCAAGTTTGATCCCATCGTTTGGCTTCAATATCTCCTTTGCGTGTTATCCTTTCCTAAAATTTTAAATGTAAAATTATGACTGATATTAGTGCTAGAGAGGAAGATTATGAGGATATGTGATGTTTCAGTCAACATCTGGAGAAGATAAGTGAAATAGACACAAACATGTTTTATTTACAAGTCTTTAGTACATTGGTTCTATAGTATCCCTACTGTAGCAGCCTTGGATAACACTGTAAAGTATCCCAATTATAACAGCTTTCGATAACACTGTAAAGTATCCCCATTGTAACAGCTTTGGATAACACTGTGTAGAATATCCCTACTCTGACAGCCTTAAATAACACTCTGTAATGAATGTTTGTCTTCCTGGATAGTGTTATTTCTGATTGCTTATGCCTCCAAAGTATTGAAAATGGCTGTTATTCCCCTCAAACTTTGCTTTGATCTTTGCCTCAGACAGCTTAGGGAAGACGTTTTGAAGGTACCTGAAGCATGCCGACCTATGAAGCAATGTGTCTCAGATCTAGAGAAGGAGTTGGCAGCATTCAGGTTCTGTACCTTCAAGACGTGTTCCCTAAGCTGTCTTAGGCAAAGGTCAAAGTTTGAGGGAAATAACAGCCACTTTATATATTTTAAAGGCATAAGCAATCAGAAAATAACACTTGCCAGGAAATTGTTTTGTTATATTATGTAATATTTGTGTTTCTGTTGTTACACTCAACTTTTTAGTCATGATTTTTCTCTGCATGGTACTGTGCAGCAATTACACATAAAATGGTAAATGTTCCAAGTGGGTAAAACATCTTCGAGTAACTTTTAATTTACATTGGATCAGTGTTTTCAGTGGTGATCCAATGTTACATTGTCATATTTATCCAGATTTTCCTGGGAGAGGATGGGGAATGGATAATGTATAACATCCCTGCCTCTCTTATATATAATTACAGGGTATTGATGATACTAAATTGATTTATTTCTGTTAGCATAAATAGGAGTGTAATAATCATGTGGCCTATTATTTTCTCTACTCTTTTAGGTATAGACGCTTCCTCCGCCTCCTTCAAGAAGGAATGCATCCAATAGCAAAACCTGTTCCAGAGCCAGAAGAAGGGTATTGTCGCAAAGATCGTCAGCCACCTGAATGTGTAGTGCCAGAACTTCTTTTCTTTTGCCGAAGAGTGTATGATTACCGCATAAAAAGGTTATTAAAGAACCCTTACTGAAGGTGTGCTGGGGGGGAGGGGCCAGAGTGCGGGGAGGGACCAGAGTGTGGGGTGCAGGGGCAGCAGTGCGTGTGGAACGAGACCAGCGAGGAGATTTTTAATAATACATGTACTGACAGTGATGATGAAGCATCAAGAGTTTTTGAACTAAATGCACTCTTTTTCGTGTGGCCAATAAACTGAGAAATTTCTGGATGTCCGAGGCATTCCAGGCAAATTTATTTATCTTAAATTAGTAAATTAGTACAGAATTTTTAAGTACTAAGGATATATACATACATATATACATATATATATATATATATAAATAATATTTATATATTAGTATTTATAAACTAAATATATTATCAGAATGGATAATTGAACTGAAAATCAAAGGAGTGTGAATCATTAAGGAAAAAGTTACGTCATTTAGATTACTGCCAGAAGGCTTGGTCAGAGACCAGGCTGCGGGGATTTTGATCCTCGGAACCAACGCAAGATAACCGCCAGTGTTTCTCTTAGTTTAATGATTAGTGTCACAATAAGTATTTTGTCATATGATAAGCCAATAGGTCTGTACAAAACACAAATTTTTATATGTATGCATTGCTTGTGGTAAGCATCAATTTAATGTCACCAGTATGATGTATTAGTTAAGACTTATTTATGAAGGAAGGTTATGCTTAAGGATGAATTCATTGTTGCCAGTCTTAAGCTATCTCCTTGCTTAATTGGTGGTTAAGCAAGTTACTTTGTTTTATTATTAGTTACTGTGTTTTATTATTAACAAGTTATTTTCTGAACCAAAGTTTCAAATAATCTTTCATCTACTCATATTCCTTTAATTCTTGTCTAGCCAAATATAGCCTGTGTGAAAAAGGTAATTAGATTTATACTTTTCTCTTGCTGCTGCTTCCTTCATCTTGTAGTTAAATGACGTAAAAGTTTGTAGTGATCCACGAGAAAACAGCTAGGGGAGTCAAGTTTAAATTTATTAATCTTTGAAAACGGGTAACGTATGTGCAAGTCAAATACAGTTAGTCTAAACTATGGTATGGATGAGGGGTCTCGTTTTTAGTAAGAATGTGGGGTTTAAAATGGTAAACTTGTAGGAATGAACTGCTCTTGTTTTATATAGAGCTATTTGACACATATCTCTCAAAGTATATGGCACAGATTATGCAGTAATGCGTGCGGGCCAGTAAATAATAATACGGTTGAGTTGTGTAGGTAGCAAGACATCACACAACTTGTGATAACTCCGGTACATGTCGGTGAGAACTGATTCATATAAAAATTAATTCAATTCACATGTCAGGTTTGCATGACCTGACATGTTACTGCATCATCTCATTCTTTGCACTATAAGTCAGCTGAAGGGTTTTTCTAAAGAATTAATTTTAATGGATAACGAGTAAAAAATTGAATTTCTAATTGTTTTAGTTGTTTTTTAATTTCATATTTGATTTGATATGTGTTTTGATAATCTTTACATTATAACAAGGTTGTTAATATATTAATAATTGCCTTTTTATTTATTTATTTAAAATTGGTTTGTTACTAGTGTACACATGCAGGTTGACTTGCTAGAATCTTTCATTTTGTATATAGAAAGTGAAAATAAATTTCAATTACATTGTACACTCTACCCACTTATTAAAGTAACCATCACATAAACCCCATTCCCTCCCCCCCCCCCCTTCCCCAAACACACACACAGAAGCCATCGTAGCCCAGCTGTAGGAGCATCCTCTGCGGGCTCACAGTCCAGAGTTCCACCCAATGACAATGGTTGCTTCTTTGATTGTTCATGTAATAAATGTTTTTTTTAATAAGGCCACTCGATAGCTCTGTCGATAGAGCTTCGGGTTCACCCACGTGGGGGTTCACAGTTCGATTCTCCTAGTGCCGAAGTGAATTGAAAAATATAAATTGTTGCTCCCTAAGGAAGATATAGGAGTGAACTACCGCCAGTCCTCAATAATAATACCAATTCTCTTTCCTATTTTTATATTACAAAGTCGTTGCATGGTGGTCTAGGGCGCTAGCTTGAGAGTACCAAGTGAGGGGTTCGAATCCTCCTCTTGGCTACCACTCTTTTTAACAAGTTAGATGAGAAGGTGGTGGAGGCCAAGACCATCAGTAGTTTCAAAGCGTTATATGACAGAGTGTTGGGAAGACGGGACACCACGAGCGTAGCTCTGATCCTATAACTACACTTAGGTAATTACACACACACACACACACACACATATATATATATATATATATATATATATATATATATATATATATATATATATATATATATATATATATATATAAAACTGAAAACTCACAACTCACACCCCCAGATGCATGCATATATATATATATATATATATATATATATATATATATATATATATATATATATATATATATATATATATATATATATATATATATATATATATATATATATATATATATATATATATATATATATATATATATATATACACCCCCAGATGCATGCATATATATATATATATATATATATATATATATATATATATATATATATATATATATATATATATATATATATATATATATATATATATATATATATATATATATTTTGTTTACAGTGGCACCTCCAAAATATTAATTATCACAAAATTTTCCACATTTTTAAATTTTTCCATGTCATACTCAAAAGGAAAATAAAACATAAAATTATGTTTTAAATATGCTCAATGCCTTTCCCAAGATGCCAACACTCTCTTAGTGCTGAGTTAATTTAAAAATATAATTGAAAATATCATCAGAGCCATTCTTAAGATGATATTATTCACACCATAAATTTTGTTTTCTTCCCTGAGCAAAATATAAATGTCAACTTATCATATAATGGACATCTACCAGGAGAACTTGACTGTAAAGAGATTTGAACCTCATCAGAACTAAATCCCAGGATCCAGCTTCCCAACCTATTTGTTATGGGGACATTCTCATGAGCATTATCCGAGTTTGTGGGAGTTTGTGCAGAACGTGCCTGTGAGTGCCGAGACATGTGGAACACTGTAGATATTGTCTGCAAATGTTTGGTTGGGAGAGGAACTATGAGAGATCTCTGGGGATAGAGTGGCCTTGATTGAATAACCTTGTTGAAGGAAATGGTGCCCGCTTAACCTTGTCGAAGGAAACACGTCACCCTCCGGTCTCGCTCCGCCATAGCCCCAGTGGTTATGAAGCAGGATATTCATGTTTATTCAATGTTATTAGTGAGAATTTACTTATTTGTAGTGACAATAGGGGTCTCCCTGAATAAATTTGTGTAAATAGTTGATGATGTAATGAGTATGAGTGACAGGAAATACATTCTTAACAAGTGGAAGGATGTGTGCAGGAACAGACCTTCTTATTGCTTGTCGCGGCAAGTGAAGTCACCTGCATCAATTTATATATGTGCATAACAGAAGACTAATATATCTAGATTTGTTTTCACGATTTTTTCTGTAGTTTACGTATGTTCTACTATATTTTCATAAGAATAAACAATATTCTGAATTTCCAAAATAATTTTTTTACTTCATAATTTTTGGAGATCTGGATTTGGTAGTTGCCACTGTATTATTATATTTTTAAAATTACAGTATACATAGGTTTGTGTGTGTATTATGCATACATATGTACTTACACAAATTCACATGCACACGCATATATACTGTATATGCAAAAACACCAGACTGAAATAGAGAGAGATTCAGCTCTGGCATTTTTGTCGGTCTCCACTGGCTGGCATTTTCAGGATGTAGTGAGGAACGGATGCTGTATAAAAGTTTATTGCAAGCCTTAGTAATATTCACTCTCTCAGGAGACAGGTTAATCCGCAAGTTTTACTTTTTCACTCTCACAAATAAAATATTTTATTTTGATTTCTTTTATCGTGACCTTCAAGGGAATTGTTTTGGAATTTTCTTGGCGCCTATTTTTTTGTCTGTTGCATTTTTACGGTAGAATAGTCAACATACGTAAATAGTCATCATGCGTAAATAGTCATCACATGTATATGTACAAACCCTATGGTAGCCAATGAAAGTACAAACTTTTCTTTGGGTGAATTTGTGTATAATTTTAGATTAAATTTGTTGTTTTTCAATGTTTTTCTATTCAGATGTGTATACGTTATATCCTATAAGGTTTTGTTTATTTTTTTGCTAAATACTACAGTAGAGGGAAGGACACAAAGGTTGTATGTAATGCAACAGTGAAAGGTTCATAAGTTTTGGAAAATCTTATTAACCCTTAAAGGTCAGGTAACATCATATGTTGATCTCTTAGGCCAATGTGGTTATCATCAATTGCTGGATTTTAATTATTATTGGCCAGTTTTTATACAAATGATGTAAATATATAGTTATACTGTACAAAAAAGACTTAGATATGTTTTTTTTTTGTTTTTTTTTTGCCCTTTTCCTTACTTTTTGCATGAAAATGTACAGCATCTGTAAGTTTTTTTGTTTTTTTTTACACAGACAGGGGTATCAATTTTGATGATAGTTGTTCTTTGAGGGTTAATAAAGGATTTATAATGCACAGTACCATATACAGTACGTATATCCAAAAATAGATATGAAATTATTATAGCTAAAGTAACCGTGGATTATTTGTTGCTAACATATTACAGTACGTATTGTTAAGTTTTTACACGACAGTAGAAAACTCGCTTAGACTGCATTTGATGGGCTGGAAAAGATTAGGTGATCATGAGGGAGAACATGGTAAGCCAGTGTTACTATAGCACTTGTAAGGGCTATGAGGGTCAGGGAGCCAGGGATGTGAGGATGGGGTGAAGAAACGGTGCTCAACCACTTGAACCATCAGGGGTTGATTGCTGGAGAGGATTAGTTAACTGATAAGTTCTTGGTGGACCAGAATATCATGTCCGCTTTACCAGATGGCAGGTATATTGCCTCAACTTGACAGAAAAAATATAAATATTTGATTTCTTCAAAGGTTTTACTATTCTGCTTTTATTACAAAATTCTATTTAATTTTTACAAATTATTTCTTTATTTTAATATTTACTACAAAATTTTAAAATAGATTTATGTAACTTTCTATGGTGGACATAGCTGAGGCTATGAGAAGCCACATCCGACAGCCCTGGTTAACCAGACCAGGAGACCTGGTAAGAGACCGTGCTGCGGGGGACATTGATCCTCCGAATCACTACAAGCAAAAAAAGCAAACGTCATGGCCAGATATTTTTGTCTATCTGTGATCGTGTGTATAATTTCTCGGTGCTTAATTATTGTTATCTATTTTTCTTTGGTTATTTTGTTAATTGAGACATAAAAAGATGCATGCCAGAAGAAAATTTGTCAGGCTAAACCAGGAAGCGAAAGAAGAGTATCTTATGAAACTGGGCTACATCTTCGATTCACAATGGAGGATCCCAGGTTCGATCCCCAGATGGGACATAAATGGATCGAACATGTTACCTTTTACCTAGCGTTAAATAGGTACCCAGGAGTTTGGCAACTGTTGTGAGGGACATCCTAGAGAAGGTTAGTAATTAGCCTGGGGGTGGGGATGGGACCTCGATAAACCTAAGTACAGGCTTCCTGTCCATAACAACAGGATGAAATACATCGAGAACATGAAGACGTCTGGGAAGTGTCGAGAGAGAAAACTGATGGCAATAATTCAGAGTGAAACATGCTTGATAAACCAAAATAAAATGTTAGATGAGGTTTCTTATTTTTGGCTTGTGCAGCAGCATAGTGTTGTAGATTTGTACAGTATTTTGTATTGTACACAGTACTACAGCCCTCACTCCACCTACTAACCAACATGAATTGATAATTGCTTCTCCTTGGTTAGTAAATATTTATTAAATTTTTTTCCTATAATGTTTATAGTGCAGTATTTACTTCTCCTATTTTACCTTCAAGTATATTTAAATTGCATTCCTTGTTTACAATTTTGTATACACACACACATACATAATATATATATATATATATATATACTGTATATATATATATATATATATATATATATATATATATATATATATATATATATATATATATATATATATAGTATATATATATATAGTATATATATATATATATATATATATATATATATATATATATATATATATATATATATATATATATATATATATATATATATATATATATATATATATATATATATATATATATAATGTGTGTGTGTGTGTAAAGATGTTATCTATCATTTGGGGTCAGAAAAAAAGTTTTTTGCAATACAGTACTGTAAATTTAGAAAAGCCTTGAAACACAGCAAGGATTGGAATCTTCGATAAAACATAACAGGTCTGGTTTCAGTTTGTCCGTTCGAGCAGAGTGCCACTGTATAATTTCACTAAACAACAACATTTGTATTAAATATATGAGTTCTAGGTTGCAACAAAATTAAGTATAATATTAATGTAAACATTAAATTTTAATATTTCAAATAAATACTGTATTGTATAATGAAACATGGACACATAGAGGTATCTTGGTTACTTATTGAAAGACGATCCTGTGTAGCCAACGTGTCTGGTCACAATTCACTACATTCAACACCTCTGTTTGTTTAGCAGTAAATACCATATTAGCTGAT